GCCTGATAAACGACGCCAGACTGCTCAAATACCTCTAGTGGGTCTTTTATTTGCATAACCCGTGAACGCATGGTCGCTGTCGGACGATGAGCAATACCCACGCTGAGCTCTGCAGCGATACGTTCGGTTACTTTTGACACATTTTTTATGTACAATAGAGGGTACCAGAGCGTCGGTAGCTCTCCTTCGTTTTTCTCCCCGTGAGGGCATAGACCAACATTCGTGGTATCCATTCCTACCCAGTTGGTCCAGAAGATGTCGTTGTTCTTGCACTCGTCCCTCAGGTTCACTGCAGCGTTTTTTCACCCTCTGAAAGAGTGCTTTAATACAGCAACGTTTATGCGCTATTGAGTGGTTGCTATAGAAGCTGAGCACCTAGGTTGTGTTAGACGTCTTTCTATAAACCGTAGTGCTGAGTTCCCCATTTGGGTCTGCGTATGACTAGGTCATCCAATCAATTCGAACCTGCATTCTGGTGCCAACACATGGACGGCACCTTCGTTATAATCGAACGGAGCAGGCTAGTGGACTTCCAAAACCTACTTAACGGCATCTTCCCTGAGATCGAATTCACAAAGGAAGATGAGAGTGCCGGACAACTGCCGTTTCTGGATGTCCTCGTCACGCGCATACCCAACGGGGCACTCAGCACCACGGTTTATAGAAGAGCAACTAAAAAATCCAATAGTGACTGCAAAAAGAAGTTTTTTTAGATTTTTTCCTGTCTTCCGGGATTTCGACGCCGCCCAAGATGCGTTTTGCAAACCTGCGGTACAGATTTAACTCTATTTCCAGAAGGGAGAAGTGACATAAAACCAAATATCTGCGCAGCCTTTGCAGAAATCTAATCCGCATGAGGCGATAATGCTAGTTTATTTGTGTAACTTAGACTTGATTCTTTTATATTGGATCATTTCAAAAGTGGCCTATTTTGAAAGACTAGGGGTCCACGACGCTTAGCGGAGCCAAAACGCTTAGCGGAGCCAAAACGCTTGAATTTACACTTGATTGGAGAAAATTCGATCTGCCAACTTGAGTTCCAACGTGAGAGTGTGCGCAGTTGTGTGTTAATTTTATCAACGCAAATATTGGCCATGTCCCTAGATAATGAGTAAATACGCTTGAAGTCCTCCATGTGAACGATATTTTGTGAATTTTAATCACCGTTTCAATTTCATGTTCGTATAAAATGAAGCGTCGAGGACACATGACCGTGCCTTGAAGAACTGCACTCGTGATTATTTGAGGCGTCGAGTAGCTATTACCTACCGAGATCTTCTGACTGTGATTAGACAAGTAGGAACCAATGAAGTTGAGGAGAGGAGGCCGGATGCCAGGGGATTCTATATTCATCAGAATACGTCTGTGCGGTACTTTGTCGAAGGCTTTGCTAAGGTCAGAGTAAATCACAGCCAGTGATTGCTGCTTGTTACGAAGGGAAGTGACTAGGTTAAGAAAAGCTAATTGACACGTTTCGCCTAATCGTCTAGGTAGAAACCCATACTGCGAGTCACTTAGAAGCTTGTTTTCTAGGCAAAAATCGCGAATTTGATTAAAAATAATCTTTTCAAGAACATTTGCTAGAGCTAGAGTCATGCGAACGCCTTGAAAGTTATCTACGTCCGAACGAGATCCCGAATTGAAGACAGGAGTATAATAGATGATACAGGAAAGAATCCGTTTAAGAGATAGACTTAGAATATATGGCTTAGCAACTATGGGAAACTCGTCATTCTCGTGATGACTGAGTTTGGAATACCATCAGTTCCCGAAGAGTGTGAGTTTTTAAGACAAATTATATGCTTACGAATTAATTCTATGAAGAAATAAATGTTACTGATAATATTAACTGAGTACAGTTGAAATGGCGGAACCGGTTCAGTTTCCCTTGTAAGATGTTTTGCAAAGAATGCACTTAACAACTCAGCCTTGTCAGTGTCGTCGAGAACGAAGTTTTTATCTTCATTGAGTAGCGGAGTAATTTCGTGACGTCATTTAGAGGAGGACAGATGACAAAACAGTTGAGCAACAGATTTTTCAGAATTTAGCTCTCTGAATGCGCATAATTCCCTTTGTCTGTCGCGTGGAATACGAATCTTAGACGCTAACTCAAAAACCTCTGCGATCCTTAGATACACAGATGACGAACTAGTAGATCGATCTTCCAACTGCCTCCTCATATTCCTTAGCCTTGGAAAAGGAAAGTGAGAGATGATGGACTCCGAGGCTCTGCATTTGTAATAATCTTTCCTTTCTAGTGGTATGCCCAACCCATATAACACTTATTACCACCGCTCCTGTATAACTCAAACGTGGCGTTCTTGTTACTGTGGTGATGTGTCTACTGAATTCTTACCCTAACAAGGATTACATAAGGGATGTACAGAGAAGTTTTGTGATGTTTTGGTTTCCTATTGATCGTGTTTCTAATTTTACCTATCGCGCCCTTTTTTGCTGCCAAATATTGGGTTATTCAAATAATTGTTCACATTGTTTCTACCTCTTCTTCATTTTTTTATTACTTTTTGTTTTCCCTGATATGCCCTACCCGTATAACCCTTATAACAATTGCTCCAGTATTACACAAACAGGGAATTTTTGTTACTACGGTGTTATGTTTATTAAATCTGTAGGTGTCTAAGTAATGATTGTGCCTAGATCACTACAATCATCAGGTCGAATCCCAGGTTGGAGGTA